TAAAGGATTTTAGGATACTGCTTATCAACATTCTACATACTAAAAATTAAATATTAGAATTAATATTATATGTGGAAATTAAAGAGATGGAAACACCACTTGATAAGGCTGAATGCAGGATTTTACAAGCTAGTAGCATCTTTTGAATTCTGAATTTAGTAGGTTCAGTAAGTTGGTGTGATCAGCATACGTAGGATCACTTATTCTAATGTGATTGATTAGCTAACATTCAAACTCACAAGAGACAAACTATCCATTCAATATAGGGCCTGAAAATTAGCCTGGTTTCTACCACCCAGGCTACATCCTATCCCATATCTACACACTGGGAAGTCAGATTATTCATCAAAGTGATTCTGGGTTTGAACAGATTCAGAGCAAAGGGAATTGGTACTCCCAGGATATTGGTGGCCAGAGTTTTGGGTGTTGATTATACATAATCTGCTACTTACTAACTTTGACCTTGAGCAAGTCTTGTCTGATAAGTGCCTCAGTTTTCCCATTTAGACAAATGAAGAAAATGACAGTACTTCTTCCTTCATGAGGTTTTGAGGACGACATGATTTAGTGCAGGATATCAAGTGCTTGTGATGATGCTTAGTATGTAATGAAAGCTTTTCTGTGCCTATTTACTTAAATTGTACGAAGCATTCAGCAGAAATGAAGAAAACTCACTCTCTATGCCTATTTCCCTTTATTCAAATGTGCTGAGTTCATTGGGAAGATGTTTGTCGCTATTTGTTACAGAGTGGCAAGGTAAAAGATCTAATATCTTCAAGGCTGGTAGTCTAAATTAAAAAAAAATTGTGTAGAACTTTCCTGCTCAACTTCAATATTAAATTAATTTCAAGGGATTACATTGCTCATACTCCTTAATTGGGTCATCTGGACTTCACCATTGTTCTCGCATCTTTTATTGAAAATCATTTGTTTAAGGATTGGTGCAAGGTGTTTTATAAATGAAGTTAGACAAGGGCTTTAGTACATCCTATAAATTGGATTCTGTATACTTGTAAATTATGCTGACAGGCACTCTTATAACACAATGAGGTCAGAACAGTCTCACTAAAAAAATGGCCCTTTCATGCTGTACCCAAGCCAAAAAAGGGGAAAGGAGAATAAAGGTACCGAGTTGTAATGCAGAAAGAAGTTGTTAAATTCAATCCCAGCCATGGTTACTTTTCATTGTATCTTAGTGGAACTAGGTGATACAAATTATTAAAACATAAGGCAATGTAATCTTAATTAAAAATATGAAGAACTGACTATATGAAGATATAGTATATTACATGCTTGTAAAGTCTAAGAAAATTATTGAGACACAATTCATGATTTTTAGAGAGTTGGCAGTTTAAAAGAGAGACCAAAATATGCATGCAATTAACTAAATGAAACAAAACAGACTTTAAATGCCATGAGTCATAGATAAAGTTTAGCCTGAAAGAACATAGCTGGATTGCATTCGTTCTAAAGACTAGATCAATTCATTTAACTGCTATTTATGGAGTACCTACTACATGCCAGGTCATGAGGCAGGCCCTTTCCACAAGGAATGCACATATCTATAAACCCAATTCTTGACAGATCTTCAAGTTTCAGAGAGTGGAAACAGCTTCAACTTTAGCATTCGAAAAACATGAATTATAACCTTCCCCAACCAATTATACATTAGGTGACTTCAGCAAATAATTTTCATCTCTTAGCTTATTTCAGAAATCGGTACCACCTTTGAATTTCTTGTATAATCTCATTCTATGCATTGATGGATAGATTAATCCTTAAATACAATGCATGTTGAACATATCTCATTTCCTCCATTCCCACACTCCCATTCTTAATGCTGGTAACATCATTTGTTATGGATTCTGTAATCCAAGTAGTTCCTTCTCATCACCCAAGAGATGTAAGTCATTTCTTAAGGTGATTAAGACCTTCAAAAAACTGAATTCTGTTTGGTTTTTAACCTCACATGATGCTCTTTCACCATATATACCTGTTGCTCCTCCACCATCAACCCTTGTGTACCTCTGTACCTTTGCACATAATATTTTTAATGCCAAAGCCTGATATTTTATCCCCATCCTCAATCCACCAAAAACAAAAACAAAAAACCTGAAAAACTTTAAAATTTTACTCTTCCTTCAAAACTTTGCTCCAACTGTATACCCAGCTGCTCAGGAGGCTGAAGCAAGAGGATTGCAAGTTGAAAGCCAGCCTCAGCAACTTAGAGGTTCCATCTCAAAATACAATATCAAAAGGGCTGGGGATGGAGCTCAGTGGTTAAGTGCCCCTGTGTTCAATCCCTGGTACCAAACAACTCCACCAAACAAAACCAAAACAAGCAAATAAAAAACCAGGTTCTTTATGAAAAGTACAATCAAATTGTACAACCAAATTATTGTTGATTAGAATATAAAGCATATGATCTTGATCCTGCTCTGTACTTTCTTTCCAGCAGTTCTAAGAAGAATAGTCTTTCCAGACTGATTAATTTATTTAGAAAATAAGACCTAAAGGTAGCTTTGCAGAAAATATCTACTTCTGTAATGTGATTTATAAGTCCCTCAACTGAAAGAAGCTGCCATACCTGACCCCGCACTTTTGCTCACCACCCACTTCCCAAGTATAATTCTCCTATAAAAACTTGGCATGTCTAGGAAAACTCAAATTACCCTGTGAAAAAGGATTGAAAAAATTTCTGAAGCCCAATTATTTTCTCTGGATGAAATTCAAACTTCTGCTTACTCCTTGTTTTTCTGTTTCCTTGTTAATCATTATCTCTTCTTTCTTCTGCTCTCCATTTTCTGGGTTGGGTGGTCTAGAAGAGGGTGGCTGACTTTGTTCTAGCCTGAGTGTGTTCTTGCTCTGCCCAAGTGGATCTCACTGCCCATCTGAGTTCTTAGGTTGTGAGTTAATCCTTAAGACAGCAAGCACAACTCTTTTACTTTATCAGTAGAGTCAGCATATTTTACATAACTCTATGTGCACAATGCCTCCATTATTTGTATATATGCCAATTGTCCCAAGAAGACTGAACACCTGAGGAGAAAGACAAGGCCTTTTGCCTTTGAATTCTCAGTTCTTACATGTTGTCTGCCATGGAGAGGAAGAGCAAGAAATACCATAGCAATGATCTCAGATTTAAGGATAAGTGTTAAGAACCAGGAAAATGCTTTGTGGAGGAGGTGGCATTTGATGTAGGCTTTAAAAGCCTTTTAAAATATTTCAGAAATTTTAGATATGTAATTTTGGGATGTTCATGTTTTAATATACATAAATGGGTATGTGTATCTTTATGATTCTCTCCTTAATACATAGGCATTTTACTAGATGAAGCTTTGTCTATTCTATCCAAGACCCTTTGTGCCGTGTTCTGAAAACTTGGTAATTATATTAATTATTTGTAAAGAATGCTCCTCCTTATGTCTTCTAAAGGAGACTGACTCTGTTTTCAGAAGGATGGCAGACTGATTTTCCAGTTATATCAAAATTACTTGACTTTAAAGCTGGGTCATAGATGGTTTTTCCATATGGTTTTTCTCCATGATTATTAACAATTATGTTATTCTTATAACAAACAAGTGTTGGTAGTCACTCTGTATTTAATAACTCCTGAGGATATTAAAAAAAAATCAAAGTATACCTTTGAACCACAGTGGAAAGCACGTTTTAACCTGGGAACCTCACTGATATTTGATTAATTCTCTGGCAGATGACCTAAGTTTAATTGTGAAAGTAACAGCTAGGACATTTTCTTCATCTCAAATCGTGTCCATTTCAGGTTATCAGTGATGGGTTAAGCTCCTTAGTCCATCTGGGGGATTTTTTATATCTGAATTATTAATTGGCATTAAAAATACTTTCTGAAATATTCTATTCTAATCTTAACTACTGCATGTTGTCACCTATCACTTAAAATACAGAAGAAAAGGTGGGTCACCGATGAAGAAATTATGAGTCACAGAAATCCAGAATAGTGGAGACAGAATCTATACCAGTGTAGTCTCCTAAGAAAAATTATTCCCATTAATATAAACATTCATATTTATTAATGTAAGTGTTATGATTTGGGCAGCAAATAATCATAATGGTGAGGAAACCAGGAAAATCGACACTGGGGCGTCAGTGTTTCATTTCACAAGAAAGACCTCTGTGAAGAAACCTGTCTGCAGATCTTCAACTCTGAAATCCCTGCATAATAAGAAAGGTCCTGGCTAAATTTAAGGAGACACAATGTATCCAGAGTGAACATTATTAAGGGAAAGAGTGTAGCCTATGGGATATAGCTAGAGATATAGATTTGAAAGGGAGCGCTGGCTCGCTTTGATCTTTTTTTGCCCTGTCAGAGCCTGAAGCAGCTTTGTTTCCAGCCTTTGGGGTCAGCTCTTTGGGGAGTTTTTAACCGGTTCTCAGCTTGCATTCGCCCGTTGACTTGCTCCAGGCAAGCCAGGTTTTTGTTTTTGGTATTTTATGGAAAGCAACTTCGTTTTCGCGGCAAACCCTTCGACCCACGCACCTGCTCACTTCTATGCCCTTCTTGGACCCTGAGTTAGTATAGGCAAAGCACAGGTGCCTGGGAGAGGCCCCCAAAAGGACAGTGGGGACAATCCCCTTCCGAACTGCAATTGTAGCTGCCAAGGAGTAGCCAACAAGGACCAGATTTATGTGCACTTTGAAAGAAGCACCTTCACCATTGGCTTTTTGAGAGGCGCTGTCGCTAGGGAGCGGCTGGTAGGGCGAGTCCAGCTTCTGGGAGAAGCCCGGGCTGTTTGTTCCTGTAACCTGGGAGAGGGGCGCACAGTCGCGCGTCCCTGTACGCACACTCCTGCTCGCCGCCCCTGGGCGCCCGCTGGGAGGAGCAGCCTCTCCGCGATCGCCTCCCACCCCCTGATTCCTGCTGCTGCCGCCCAGAGGAGAGAAGAGCCTCTGCCTCGAATTTCCCCTCGGCGCCGGTGCTGCGGAGATTCGCGCGGGTGGGCGTGAGGAAGAGAACCCGCTGAATGAGTTCTCCCCTCGCCTTGGAGTTGTCTGAGTTGGCGGCACAGCGCCCGGGTTTCCGGCACTCAGCGCCCGACGACCTCGCCTCTCCCGGGGCTGCTGCCCACGCCCGCGCCGAGGGTGGCACCAGCCGCGCCAGGGTTGCTGAGGCTCCTGAGCTCCTGTCCCGGCCCCATTTCGGGGCAAAGGAGGGTTGTCCCCCACGGAGACGCACAGTCGCGCGGTCTTCTCTCCGCGGCGGATTCAGCGTGTCCATGGCGTCTCATCAGCAAACCCGAATCCAGGCTTACCTAGAGAAGAACAAGATCGGTCCTCTGTTTGAGGTAAGGCAATGTGGAGGAGGATAGTCCCGCTGTCTTTGGGGGGAAGGGGTGTAGAAACAACCAGAATACCCCCCAAGGGAAAGAGCGCGGGAAAGGGCTCCCTGTAGCCTCAGTTCACTGGCTAGTTCTGCTCAGCCCAGGTGTCCTGGAACGCAGCCCCGCGGGCACTTCGCCAGTTACCTGGACGCGGACGGACAGGTAGGCTCGATAGCGCCCAGCATCTGCCTGACTTGTCCTGCGCCTGGTGGCCACGTGTGTGGGACCAGGACAAATTGAGAGAGGCAGTAGGCACAGATGCACACACTCAGACTATCTTACACATGCACACTTTCTTCCTGGAATTCACACTGTCTTGCCTGTTGGATTTTCTTTTTTCTTTTTAAAAATGTGGGCGGTAGTGGAACCCGAAAAGGTGGAGGAGGTACCTCGCTTAACAGTGGGAAGGAATATGGTTAACTGGAAGAAAGCTTAACTGGCAAGGGATAGGTTTCAGTAGGTGCGGGTTTGTTGAGTAAATCTGGCAAACTGGGAGACTGATACCGATCACTGGCTGAAAGAGGAGCCCTTTGCATTGCAGTCTACCTGCGTTAGGGGGAGAAAGACACGGAGAAAGGTTTTGGAAAAGCCTTCGCTTATTTATGGGAAACAACTATAGCCCTGAGCTGTTTTCTTTCGCCATCAAAGAATCAATGATAAAAACACAGTGGGAGAAAAAAGAGCGGGAGGACGAAAAAAATGAGAACGGGAGACAAACCTAGCATCAGCACAGCGTCTCGCTGGTTGCCAGGGCGCTGGGCAGGGGTGGGGCGGGCGTGTGGGGCAGGTAGATGGGCAGGTGCTGAGGCCCATGCGGAGAGACGCCAAAGGTTCCTTCTCCTCCCATCTTGGTTCAGCTGTTCAGCTGGGGCATTCAGGATGGAGAGATACCTAGGAGGGACAGGGTGGCCCCCACCCCCAGAAACAGCTGTAACCTTAGGGTGGTGGTGTGCCTGTGACTGAGCCAGACACAATCGCAGGTGGGGAAGACGGTGCACTGGAGGTAGCAGAAAATGGAGCAGTTTTTCTGAGACTGAAGAGAAAGGAAAGAGATCTGTAGAGAGAGGGGGGAAAAAAAATTAAAAAGTGTGTGTGTGTGTGGGGGGGCGGGGTGCGAATTAATGCCCCGCGCACAAAAAGGGAGAGGAGGGCACTGGTGTGGTCAAATAGGTCTTTTCCCTGAGAAGGATCGATGTTGTTTCATTTTATTTATTTATTTTGAGGATCGATTTTAAATAACCAAGGTTTGCAAGATCTCTGAAGTTTTCCTCCCAACTTTAAGTTAATGTTGTAGTGTCTCCAAAGATATGATCATTGTTTCAACAGAAGCTCTCTGAAAGGGGTCACCAAGCCCTACAATTTTTGTTTCTGACAAAAGCGTTAGCAGAGGAAGTCTTTCTGTTAAAAGGGGTAGCAAAATAGACTTTCTGAAACTAATAGAATTTTTTTTTGTCCTTAGTGATTATTGACAGTCCATAAATCCCATATAGCAAGAACAAAAAAGGTAGAAGCAAAACATAATAACCCTTTGCAATAGTATATTAACTGAGCTAAAAGAATCACAAATACATTTAGAGTGTCTATTTGCTGGCTGCTTTCCTAGAATATAAAGCACAATTAGCGATGGAAAAATAAGTGAATTGTTTTTAATAGATTCTGTTCTCATTTAACTTATTTAAAAATTCCCAAGATTCTTTCCAAGTAACAAAAATAGAATTTGGAATATAGGTAAACTTTCTACATAATTATGAAATAAGACCAATTTGATATTTACCCAGTGCTCCCTCTTTTAAATACTCACCAGTTTATTCTGCACTGAATAGTTTTAAATGCTATCAAAATTTTCTCATAAAAGCTTTAGGTCTCCTCACCAAAAAAAAAAAAAAATGCTTTGTATTTTATTGAATACATATTACATAAGCTTGGAACCCATTAGCATGGATTGCAGTGATGAGTAGTTAATTTTTAAGGGTTGATGTGCACTTTATATAATTGAAGGGGAAAATGCACAAGTTCTATTCTACTAAAAGCAGGTTGGGACACAGATCCTCAGGCAATGGTTTTCATCATGATAGCTTGGTTTTGAGAGTAGAATTATATGTTGCAAAATCTGAACATCTCACTAACTTGTAGACTATTTTTCTTCATGCTAGAAAACTGGTAAAGAGATACCACCCATGAAGGGCATATTGTTGGTCTAAGACTATTGTCAAAATTCCCAGGATCTCACTCATTGGTTCCATAACTGATTCAGTAGGTCAGAGGAGGTGCCCAGGAATCTGAGTTTACTAAGAAGCAGCACAAAGGATTATTACAATTTTAATTCCTGAGGCACATTTTAAGAGACAATGACAGAAGCTAAAATCTCCTTTGGCCAATCACAAATTGAGTTAAGCACTTCCTGATTTTATCACCAGTACTTTGTTGTTATTTGTAGTATTGAAGCACTGTAGCTGATGACACAGACTTCCTTCATAGTTTTGAAAATATGCAGTATCTGATAGTATGTCCCCTTGTGGATTTTATAAGTTAGGAATGTTTTAAGAAACATTTTTGGAGTGAGACACTTTAAAGAGAATGTATGGAAGACTATTTAAAACAATAACAAAGTGAACCTGCATACTGTATTTAAAATAACTTAAATTTTTTTAACCTATAAAGTTTATTGTCTTAGTTTGGTTACTTAGTTTCTTAATGAATTTCTAATATCTTAATCATTTGAGAAGCTTGTAATAGTGTTGAATGCAATATGGTGTTCCAAAAATGACTTGAATTGAAATTAATTTTGTTTCCAAGTGATTTAGGGGCATAAATTTATACTATACTATACTATCTTTGATCAAAGATTTTTTTAGTATAATATTTTTTATTAGAGCTTTATAGTTATACACAGTAGTTGAGTTCATCCTAAAGTCAAATGTATGGAATTTGACTTTAGTTCTCCCCGTTAAAGATGTTTTGAGGCATTAAAAACCATGCCTAAAAATCATTGAGAGGGCTGGGGTTATTGCTCAGTGGTAGAGCGCTTGCCTTGCACATGTGAGGCCCTGGGTTCAATCCTCAGCACCACATAAAAATAAATAAAATAAATGATACTGTGTCCATCTTAAAAAAATAATAGAGAGTGCTCATTAATGATGTTTTAATTCAATAAAAATATGTAAGGTGAAAATTGCATTCCACAAACTCTGAAATTTTTGTAAAGTATAATTTTACTGGTCTTACTGGATTTATTGGGGCAGGCAAGCAGGAAACACGTTGGGAATAAGTCTATAAGGAATTCTTGACTTTGCTGAAATAAGATAGAACTTTAGTCCTACTTACTTTGTTTCCTTAGATAACAGGCAGGTGTAAAATGGTTCAGGTCCGACCAAAATACAGTATTTTTGTAACATACATGAGCAAGATGCATAGTGTAAATACAAAACTTGTCTAAAACCTGAGGCTGGCTAGTTAGTAGTCAAAGAAATTGTCAGTCAGAAATTCTGAAGTTGAATAATTATCTGGCATATAGCCACTTAGTTGATTAAAGGAGTTTGTTTACAATCTGTATTGTAAGCAGTTTGACTTAATTCCTGAGAGATTATATGATTTGGAACATCATAATGCCTTACTTTAACATAAAGTGGTATACAATTTTAGTTTTTCCCATTCCTCTTAGATAAATACACTAATTACTTCAAGATTATGGTTTGACGGGTGTGCAAGGAAATCATATGCTTTGGTTCAGGATTGATCACACTCACAAGTGTATGAAATCCTAAGCTATTAAAAAGAAGAATAATTGGAGTCTTCATTAAACTTCCAGAGAATTCTCAAGTCTCTTTACATTGACGACATGGCAAGCCAAACCCTCCGCATTTCTCCAAGAGTGGTCTGCCAATGGCACAGTTTTGTCATCATCTTTATTAGTTCAGAGTTCACATGGGCTAACTTCGCATGAACTAACTGGCATGCATGTCGGGAGGAGGACTCCTGAGCATCCCTCAGCCTGCCTCCTGATACCCTTGGCTGCTGCACAGCTCACTCTTGTCTAGTACTTGTCACGTTGGTAACCCCAATTCCATTCTGCTTCCCCCGCATCACTTTCCTTTGTTCATCTCCCTGAATAATAGTCTGAAAAATGCCCCCTCCCTCATCAGAGAGCTTATGGGCTACGAGGACATTGCTTCAGTTCTCCTAGGGATCACAGTCCTGGGCTGGCTGTTGCTCATGCCTGAAAACAAGTACTGCATTGATTTTGGTCAGATTTATGGCTGTAGTAGGGAGGGCAGTGGCGAGGAGTATAAGAAGGATAGTAGTTACTCGCTTAGGGCTGAAGGTGAAACTCAGCCTTTAGAAAATATAAAAATGATATTTTAATAAATAAAATAGGAAAATGCTTTCAAAGGAGAAATGATAAGATTAAAAGCTTGGAACTTGTAAATGTTTTTGGTGAAATCTCTGTTAGTGTATCTTTTCCAAAGCTTGAAGTTGTAAAAACTTTTTTCTCTACATAAATTTGCACTCATTTTTGTAATCCCAGAGCATTTGGAGGAGCTGCAGCCAAAGCCTTTCTTAATAAAATTTTGCTTAAAATTAAACATTATCATGCATTTTTTTCAAAATAACCTTAAAAATAAATTTTCTTTCATTTCTGCCATCATATATTTTATTTTTGAACAGTTTATAAAGAAAGAAAACAACTAAATATTTAATACAAAAAATAAATCACTTTTAAAATAATAAAAGAGAAGCATACCAAAAGTGGCATCAATATATCTGAAAACAAATTGTTTTGGGGTCTTTTCTAAAAGAATGTGATCAGTGGAAATATGAATCTCCCTCCCTTCTTTCTTTCCTTAAGTAAATTAATGAGCCATTAGGCAGAGCCATGCAAAGAGAACAGCTAAGTGGGGCAGTTGGCCTAGGAGTGTCAGGGCAAGATTAAAGAAGGGGGCTGAGTGGGACAATGGCCTGGCAGG